CGCCGACTCAGCGTCGCGCACGTGGGGTCAGACGTGGATGCACCAAGTCAGACCCACATTCCAGACAGTCACATAAGGGGATCCAACCAATGTGATCGAAACCCTTTGGGCCCACAGTCCAACGCCATCGCGAATGACGGCATGCAAGGCAATACAGCCAATAATGCCACCTCACAAGCGCCAGTATGGACACACCCTGGATCAGCAGGACTAGGGGACTTTGCTAGGTACCTGGCTCACCGCGAACTAATCAACACAGGACTCGTTAAGTTTGATGACCACTCTGAGAACTATCGAGCCTGGAGATATACCTTCAGGAATGCAATCCGAAATGCAGACATCTCTGCAAGTGAAGAACTGGACCTGTTGGTGAAATGGTTAGGAAATGAATCTGCAGAGTACGCAAAGAGGATCCGGTCAGCAAACATTGACGACCCCACCTCAAGCCTGCATGCAGTGTGGGAGAGGCTCGAGGAGTGCTATGGTAGTCCAGAAACCATTGAGAAGGCTCTCTTCAAGAAGTTGCAGAACTTTCCAAAAATCTCTGGTCGAGACAATAAAAGGTTACGGGAGCTTGGAGATCTTTTTATGGAGCTTGAATCAGTCCAGGCTGACCCCTACTTACCAGGTCTCATTTTCTTGAATACCTACCATGGCGTGAACCCCATCGTAGAGAAATTGCCATTTGACGTGCAGGAAAAATGGAGAACAGCGGGTTCAAGATACAAGTCAGAGCATCAGGTTGCATTCCCCCCATTCTCTTTTTTCTCAATGTTTATCCACAACCTGGCTAAGACTAGAAATGACCCGAGTTTCATGTTTGGCACCACAGGGATTTCCAGTCCAGATCTCCCAAAAATGGAAAGAACGATGGCGAAACGAGGAACAGCGAGAGTGCCAATTTTCGTACACAAGACTGAGGTCTCTCCTGCGACATTCGCAAACTCCGTCCAGGCAACCACCACAAAGAAAAAGATAGAGGATCCAGAGAAGCAATACCCATTGCATGATGAACCTCACTCCCTCCAGAAATGCCGTGAGTTCAGGAGGAAGCCATTGGTCGAGTGGAAGAACATGCTGAAATAATTTGGAGTGTGCTTCAAATGCTGTGCTTCTACAAACCACCTTGCAAGGAATTGCAAGGCAGATATCAAGTGCGAGGAATGTGGCAGCGACAAACACGCAACTGCTCTGCACACATTTTACTCGAAACCCAGTGGCACTAAGGCTTCCGATCCCGAAGCAGAGCACGGCGGGGAGCAAGGCGAGACCGCCGCACTCACTTCGTCAATCACAACCAAATGCACAGAAGTCTGTGGAGAAGGCTTCAAAGGAAGATCTTGCTCAAAGATATGCCTCGTCCGAGTCTATCCCAAAGGACATCCTGAAAGGGCAGTAAGGATGTACGCCATAATGGACGACCAGAGCAACAGGTCTTTGGCAAGGTCAGAGTTCTTTTATCAGCTAAGTGTAGGTGGGAATTCCTTTCCATACACGCTCAGAACATGCTCAGGACTGATGGAGACAGCGGGAAGAAGAGCGAGCGGCCTCATGGTGGAAACCATGGATAGCACCATGAAGCTAGCCCTTCCTACGGTGACAGAGTGCAACGAGATACCGGACGACAGGAGTGAGATCCCACGCCCGAAGTTGCACGTCACCACCCACACCTGAAACCCATAGCAGAGTTCATCCCGCCATTGGATCACGCGGCACAGATTTTACTTCTGCTCGGCAGGGACATGCTGAGAGTCCACAAGGTTCGCGACCAACACAATGGACCTCACGACGCTCCCTACGCCCAGAGACTCGACCTAGGATGGGTCATCGTAGGTGACGTTTGTCTCGATGGAACACACAAACCAGACCACATTAGCACATTCAGAACGAGTGCTCGTGAATGGACGCACGTTGCTCCTCAAACCGTGTCCCAACCACTTCACGCTGAAAGAGAAGCTCGGAGACAGAAGTGAAGGCTGTACCGTGCAGATTTACAAAGAAACCACCATGCTGACCACAACTTCGCACGTACATCCACCATCTTCGCTGGATTTTGTTCCTCCACGTTTCTCCAATCCAGTCCTCACTGACAAGAGGAAGCCAAAGACGAAGCCGCTGCTCGTCGCTCTGCTGGTGGTCGTGGCGGTGGTTGCTGCGGCCGTGGCCTCTTCGTTTCTAGACCCGAAGCTGTCATCCGAGTGGGAATCCTGGAAGGAGTTCCACGGCAAGGCCCCACAACCGGAATATACCATCCCAAGGCTTGAGCTGTGTGGAGCAGTTCTTGCTACAGAGGTGGCGGAACTGATATTAGACGAATTTGACGTCAAACTGGACGCGGTCAAGTTCTACACGGACAGTAAGGTCGTACTAGGCTACATAAACAACCAAACCAGAAGGTTCTACACCTACATCAGCAACCGGGTGGAGCGCATCAGGAGATCGACGCAGCCGGAGCAATGGAATTACGTTCCAATTGACCAGAATCCAGCAGATCTCACAACTAGGTCCGTCCCTGCATCTGTGCTGAATCAAACCATCTGGCTGACGGGTCCAGCGTTCCTGTTACGACACGACGGTGGCCCATGTACTACCAAGGAGACCTTTGGACTCATAGAGCCCGAGTCCGACAAGTAGATTCGTCCTCAAGTGACAACTTTCGTAACAAATGTGCGACCAAGAAGTCCACTGAGTCCACACCATTTTGAACATTTCTCGAAATGGACGACGCTCGTGCGAGCGATAGCACATTTAACGCATATCGCAGACTGCTTCCACCGCCCGATGAGAGGCACCACTGGTAGCTGCAATGGATGGCATCACTGCAAAGTGCCACGCACTGAAGACGAGCTTTCCAGAGCAAGGAAATCAATCTTCCGCTGTGTGCAACAGGCAGCTTATGCAAGTGAGATCAAGGCCATCAACAAGGGAGAAGACCTTCCTAGGGTCAGCACCCTCAGGAAGCTAAACCCCAGAATGGACAAAGACGACTTGCTCAGGATCGGTGGTCGGCTAGGGAATGCAAAATTAGATGAGAATGAACGAAACCCCCTCATAATCCCAAGCCCGAGCCACATCGCAATCTTACTTGTGCGCCACTACCACGAGAAGGTCAAGCACCAAGGTCGGCACTTCACAGAAGGAGCAATCCGATCTGCAGGGCTGTGGATCGTTGGAACAAAGAGGTGCATGACCAGCACAATCCACAAGTGTATCCGGTGTCGTAAGCTACGTGGAAAACAAGAAGAACAGAAAATGGCAAACCTCCCAGCCGATCGACTCAGTGTGGAACCTCCCTTCACCTCTATAGGGATCGACATGTTCGGACCATGGACAGTCATCTCCCGCCGCACCAAAGGAGGGCTCGCGAACAGCAAACGTTGGGCAGTGCTGTTCACCTGTATGAGTACACGAGCAGTGCACATCGAAGTCATCGAGTCCATGGACTCTTCGAGCTTTATAAATGCACTCTGGAGATTCTTCACCATCAGAGGGCCAGCCAAGCAACTCCGTTCTGATTGTGGAACCAATTTCACTGGAGCATGTAAAGAGCTTAAGATCAATACGGAGAATATCGAAGATGATTATGTCAGGAAATACCTTAGTGACCAAGGCTGCACATGGATCTTCAATCTTCCCCACTCTTCGCATATGGGTGGAGCCTGGGAACGCATGATCGGGATTGCTCGACGCATTCTCGACTCCATGCTATGTGATGTCGGGTCCACACGGCTCTCTCACGAGGTCTTGACCACTCTCATGGCCGAGATCTCAGCCATAATTAACTCAAGACCCCTGATCCCAGTCTCAACCGACCCGGAGTCACCATTCATCTTGGCTCCTGCTACACTTCTTACCCAGAAGACAGATGTGCTTACAGCACCTACCGAGGAGGCCAGCACTGCAGACCTCTACAGACGTCAATGGAGACAAGTGCAGAGCTTCGCGAACACGTGCTGGCGTCGCTGGAAAAACGAGTACCTTACGACACTCCAAGTGCGCAACAAGTGGCAGTCTAACAGACCAGACATCCAAGAAGGCGACCTCGTCCTACTGAAGGACAACCAAGCCAAACGGAATGAGTGGCCAATGGGCTGCATCCTCAAGTCGATTCCAAGTGCCGATGGAAAAATTCGAAAGGTCGAGGTTGATTGCGAAGCAAGGTGTCGCAAGAACTTTCATCAGGCCCATAGTCGAGATAGTACTACTTCTCTCTCGCAAAGATATGGACAAATAAGTCGACCCATTGAAGTTGTTATACACTTGTTTATGAGATAGGAAATAAATGGTGGTATCTCCTAGATACCAGACGGGGAGTGTCTTGCCTCACGGCAGATGTGGAGCATACGTTCACAGGAAGTTCCTGTTTTTTTATGCAAATTATGGTCACGTGACCAGGAAGTGACGATGTTAGATTTTCAGTGAACCACGCGGGCTTCTGCCATCTTACTGATAATTCAAGATGGCGGCACGCATCGCATCTCCGTGAGACCACAGCCGCACTTGTCCATTGTGGGAGCTTAAGAAGCATTGTCTGTAAGTTGTTTATATTCCTATAATATTGGCAATGCTGTTGTGATGTTGGAATGACCATTATAGTGATGTAAATGCCTTTATGGTGCCGTTAAGTTGTTGTAGTAAATACGAGGCCTAGTTAGTAACTAAGCCTGCGACTTTCCTTATTGTGGATGTTACTTGTGATTTAGTAGGTCGAGTCAGACTTGTGCCTATGTTGCGATCCTGAGAGTAAAGATGACGAAGTATCTCATCCACAGCTTAGTGTTATGTGTAATGCTGTACATTTGGGGTGCAGTGGGATGAATACACGATGTGCCTGTATGCAACGCACCGGCTTATGCTGTTGTCTAGCTGTTCAGTGGTAATGTAGGGGCCTGGTCCGTCCAGGATCTATTGTTATCTAAGACAATGTTCTGATGCTGTGGTGTTCATTGTGTTGGTGTTTCCGGATTATAACAGATGCTGTATCTGTGTTTTCTCACCAGTTTTACCTTGTTACAATCAAGAAATGACGATTGGAGTTGGACGTTCATCCTGGCTCCGAGGGTTTATTGAACGCAAGGTTATCTACTCGACTAGCGGTGCAACGCAGCGCACAGCGAGGCCGAGATAGTGTTGCTTTAGATGACGTTGGCTAAACTCACAGATGCATCGTCTTTCGTTTTATGGCAAGGGGGAAGATCCGAAATTCGAGAGTTTTGGATTGTGTGTGGGGCCGTGTCGAGTTACCACCCTGTGCATAAAATAAATCAAGTCCGTGACGTCATGTTTTGAGCCGACTATCCTTGTTTTAGAGATAGTTTCTTCGTCTTAGAAAGTAGACGATGGGGTTTGGTTGCCAGTGTCAGACGGTGGACTTAGCGGAGGTCGGTGATGGAAATTGCATTGAAAGTCGACCATTTGCCACGTACGTTGGAGAACGGTGACATCCATTGGGAATTCCCAAGCATGAGATAACTGAGTTGGTCCTGTGGGTGGCAGGCAGGGTTATTGATTAACTGGACTTGTACACCAGTCACGTGGTTAATGGCGACTTGGTTGAGGATTGCTGTGTGACACACGTGCTGTTGAATTTTACAGGTAAAGGACCCAAAGGTTGTTTTTGATCGTTATAAAAATGTTCTAGACTTGTTCTAGACTTCAAGCTTGGCTTTGAATTGTTAGTTTGTGATATATTCAATAGGAGGGTTTTTAGCACTGTGCACTGTAAAGGATGACGTACTGTAGTTAATACTTGTAATTATCTAACCCTAATACTGTTTATTCTATAACCATGCCCATGCACCAGAGGATGACTACTTGCAATGCTATTGAGAATATAACATGTGTAGTGACATCGCGGATGTCACTGTGTGGTGCCAGCCCTAGAGGGGCACGGCGTGCGATGTACTCACATCGCGGAGATCATGTATGTAGCCACATTGTGAATGTCATTGTGTAATGCCGGCTCTAGCGGGGCACGGCGTGCTATCGCACAATACATTGTCATCGCGGACACCCCGTAGGTGGGTGCAGTACCAGCCCTAGAGGGGGCTCGGTGAGCGCTGGGATAGCGCAGTGGCACCACGCGTGGCACATAGTGCTGACTCCTACAGGAGGGAGTGTGAGAGTGTCAGCCATGGGATGAGGTTACCCTAGGCCATGGCACTCTGGTTGACCCTGGAAGGCACGTGACCAGAAAGATCTATACAGGGGCCCCAGGTGGGGGCTTGGGGATGGTCACGTGTCAGGGTGAGATCCTACGGGAAGGGTCGAGAAACGACGAGGTTTCACGAAGGTGGTCGTGGCCAAGGGCGGGGCCAGCCACGACCCAGCAGCATATAAACCGGGTCCGCACAGGGACCGAGGTTCAGCATTGCTGTCGTCATCTGAACATCTACGATCTACGATTCTACGTCCAAGAAGAAGTCACCAACACGTGGACGAGGACCCCAGCTAGGGTCCTGTCCATCGTAGCTACTCCCAGTAGCTAGCGTAGTTAGCCTGGTGGTCCACCACCATAGGTTATCTGGTAAAGGGGCAGTAACACCTTTGTGTTATGTGTAGTGTTCAACACGGAGGCAGACACTCTGGACTGGGAGGCAACACTTTTATTTAACAACTTCCCTAGCAGGTAACACTGAACGTAACTCGGGGTTTATAGTAGGTGATGTGGCTAACTATGCGAGTAGCGAGTTAACTCTAAACGAAGACCCAGAGACGACGAGATGCGGGACCCAGGCTTGATTCCACCGACGAGCCAAGAACACTCTCGCGACTGCCCTTTTATGCTCCTGAGGTTGGCCTCGCTCCGCCTTTGGTCACGTCCCCTTCAAGACCTTTCTCGAAGGATCCCGACCGAGCATCACGTGCCCCACTCAGGCGACCACGTCCTCCCTTGCCCTATCTTAGGCCATCACCAGGACTATGCCCCCTAGGGCTGGCTGACATGCCGTACTTACTCTGGTGCTAGAGGCACCAGATGCACAGTTGCACTACTGTAACAGAAGCTGGCGTGAACACCCTAGTGACACAATTTACGTCACTACATATGTGTTGGTGTTAATAAATATGTGTTGCCTCCAAGATGTACATCTGTGACTCAGTTGAATCCACTACACATGTAAAGTAGTAAGTTGTACAATGGTGACAAGTACAGTACCTATACTGTACACATACAGTACAGATAATGGGTGTAAGATACCGATATAAGTGGATGGTATAGATAGACATACAGCTTAGAATTAAAGTAATATTTAAATACTGAAGTGCAAAGGTTGCTGTCAAAGACAAAGATGGTTTATCAGTAGTAGAACTGGGTTTAAGCGAAACTGTTATTGATTAACGAGACTTGTACACCAGTCATGTGGTTAATGGCGACTCGGTAAAAACCAGTCTCATCAAGTTTCTGGTGGAAGAGTGGAAACTCCCACGATACAGAGAGATGTTGCATGGCAAGGTGTTGTACATGACCTGTGAGGAAACCTGCTACAAGTTGACAGAAGATGTGTGAGGATGTAGCAGAGCTGCACTCCACGTATGAAGAAGCTGACACTCGTCTGCTCCTGTATGCATTGCATGTAGCAAATGTGGGCTCAAAGCAGTTATCATCACAGCTGAGGACACTGATGTCATGGTGATTTGTCTTGGCTTCCAGAAGGACATCACCTGTCCCATCTACCAGAAGTGTGGGATACAGAACCGCACACGGTTTGTCGATATCAGCAAACTGGCAAGGTCATTTGGAGACAGCATCTGTGACAGCCTAATTGGCTTACATGCCCTCACAGGCTGCGACACTGTCAGTGCATTCGCCGGTCGAGGGAAGCTGAATGCCCTGAAGATGGTGAGAAAGGACACTTCCTGCCAAGAGACTTTTAGTCGACTGGGGCAGTCATGGAATGTGAGTGATGAGCTGTTACAGAAAATTGAGCAGTTCACCTGTCGCATGTATGTTGCTGATAGCAGCACCGGTGAGGTGAACGAACTGTGCTACCAGCTCTTCTGCACCAAAAGGGGAGAAGTCGAGTCCAGCCAGCTACCACCATGTAGACACTGTCTCTTCACGCATGTGCAACGAGCCAACTATCGGGCAGCAATCTGGAAGTGCTGTCTGCAGGCTAACCCTGTGGTGCCAAGCCCTACTGAGTATGGATGGACAGACGATGATGGCAAGCTGGCCATTTACTGGATGTGCTCCCCACCCGCACCAGATGTGGTCTTGGAACTGCTAGCATGCAAGTGTGTGTGTTCATGCAAAATGCCAAGCTGCACGTGCCTGTCAAAGGGACTGACATGCACATACATGTGCAGGTTACAGACCTGCAGTAACCAAAAACTGCAGGATGATCCAGAACCTGATTTTGAACTCGGGAAGTCCGATGACGAGATAGACGAGCAGTTTGATGAGACACAGGGTGGTGATTCTGATGGTATTACTGTGGTAGTAGTAGTAGTATACATTGATGCACAGTGTGGTGATTCTGGACTTGGTTAGCCTTATTATCACCATCTAAGTACACACAGAGCTTGATCACAATAATGGAACCTTATTCACATATACCCATCACTAACGATATATATGGGATTACATGTTTCATTGACTAAGTATATGCGAATGTCAATGTTTATAATATTCAAGTAGTTCCTTACCTCACGATACTATTCCTTATTATCCTGTGTTTTCATTGTGTATTTAAACCAATTAAGACCAGTTTGTGACCCAACTGGCTTTGGTCTAGGTAATTTTCAGTAATGCCCATTTCATCATTCCGGATGCCTGTCATAGGGTATGGGTATAAAAGTCATGGTAACTACAACTAAGCTGCCACTCCGCAGAGGTTATCATATCAGAATATGTCCCGCACACGTGGAGGATTACAAAAATCATTACTAGACTTTGCCACCTCAGGTGGTACCAATAAGTGGTTGTTTGGGTCTGGGCCCAATGGACTCCGCACCCTGGAGCCGGCTTGGGGACGCGGCGCTGTCGAGGCTCACGGGGAAGGGGTAGCGGTAGGGGGGGGGCTAATAAATTGCAGACGTTGAGGACAGGCAATGCAAAGACTGATGTTCTTCACGTGTGGTGTTACATTTGATGTTTACTCTGTTTAAAAATGATAATTTCTCACTTGAATTTTTTTTTTAAGTGGAACATTTTGGGGCTGAAACGTAACTTGGCGTTTAACGTGGGAGGGAGTCAATGGGATAACAACGCTGGTTTTACCAACTTTCGCTTCACGAGCAATTTTTAGAGGAATGCATTTTGCTCGTTAAGCGAGACACAGCCCTTTAGCGTCATCTAGGCGATGTGATAAGTATAGTGACATTCTTTAAGAAAAGTCCCTCTTGAAACCCATTGGACGATGTCTTCGAGTGTCCCAACCCAACCATGAAGGGTTCTCAAGACCTAAATGTCAACATATCGCCAAACGCAATAATATAACATAATCTATGTAATGCTGCTAAGTCATTTTACCACGGTGGCGAGATGTTAACTACCCGGCCTGGTATACACGAGGTCATGGGTTCGATCCCGACGCCTGCTGTATATTTGTAGTTTGGGTGTTTTTCTCACCGTGGTCAAAATGAATTTTTCTCCGGGCCCTCCGGCTTTTCCCTCCACGTTTAGAATGAACATCGCGCGTTTACAGCATTTGGCTGCTGTACATTTCTACATGATGATGATCATAGGCCACTTCTTTGAGCGATCATTTGTGATACTGTTGCTGCTACTGACATGTGTGTTACTGCAACTGCTGCTGTTACTAGCGTGTGTGTTATTGTTGCTGCTGTTACTGACGTGTGTTACTGCTGCTTTTGTTATTGCTGCTGCTGTTCGAAAGCTGCGTATGAGAGTGTTTTGATATTCACAAGGAAGGTCGCGACCTCACCACGGGGTGAGGGGCAGGAGGGAGGATAGGGCCTCTGCGGAATTGGTGTGGGTCTCCTGGCCTGCGCTGTGGCGAGCGTGGTGTATGAGTGTGTGGTGAGAGTGTGGTGGGTGAGTGTGTGGTGGGTGAGTGTGGTTGGTGGGTGAGTGTGTGGTGGTTGAGTGTGTGGTGGTTGAGTGTGTGGTGAATGTGTGGTGGGTGGGTGAGTGGTGGGTGAGTGTGTGTTGTGTGTGTGGTGGGTGAGTGTGGGGTGAGTGTGTGGTGGGTGTGTGGTGTGTGGTGAGTGTGGTGGGTGGGTGAATGGTGGGTGAGTGTGTGCTGGGTGAGTGGTGGGTGTGTGGTTGGTGAGTGAGTGGTGGTTGAGTGTGTGGTGGGTGTGTGTTGGCTGAGTGGTGAGTGTGTGTTGGGTGAGTTGTGGGTGAGTGTGTGGTGTGTGGTGGGTGAATGTGTGTTGGGTGAGAGGTGGGTGAGTGTGTGTTGGGTGAGTGGTGGGTGAGTGAGAGGTGGGTGAGTGTGTGGTGAGTGAGTGTTGGGTGAGTGGTGGGTGAGTGTGTGGTCTCCCCCCTGAGCGTGTGGTGAGTGTGGCGAGTGATCGCTGTGATAACCGAGGTGGTGCTATGTGTCGAATTCCAGTCGATAGCACGCTCTGCAACTTTACGATTGTTAAACTTTTGTCGCACCGTACGCAGCCAACTGTATTAACCGGGGGTCTTTATTTATTTTTTATGGCATGTGGGCAACAGTTTGTGTCGACCATGTAATAATTTAAGATATCGGAACTTCGAACGCGATGCCACATCTGGTGGTACGGACGAGTGAGAAGCTATCGTATCTAGCCTGGCCTCATGGCCCATCCTGCACGGCTGTTTATGCGGGAACCCTCGAGGGAATTGAACTCAGGCGATACTGGGTTCAGAGTGTAGTGCGTGCCAACCCCAGTGCGCCACCACTCCCCACAACGGGTCGACTGCAAGGCGGTGATGAAGACAAGTCCTTCCATGGTCTCGCAGCTCCCAGCTGCAGGGCCGCAGTAGACGCTGTACGTATTGTATAGATGATCCATAATAAAAGTTTTTTGGGTTAAATCGCGTAAATATGTGTCATTAAAACCCGCCACCACCCGACACAGCCAACTAGTAAGGGTTGTCACGTAAACAACGTGCCAATTCGTCACTAGTACAGCACTAACCGGTGTGTTGGAGAGCCAAGCCACAACATTTACAATCTGAGCACGATGTTTGTTTCGCCAATGTTTGCAACTTGCTTCATCAGGCGACAGCCATATTTGTGGAGAAGTCTAACTGTTTCGTTCCTTATGTAATAAAGGTCGCGGATGCAACTTCTGGAATCAGGTTTGTTTATTATCTTTCTTCCACAGCTCTCATCGTATGGACTCCTCTGCTATCTAACTCCTTCACGCTGTTGACAGACAGCATGAGAGGGAGGGTTAGAGAGAGATGACTGTCGCTGCCACGTGGCATGTTTTGGACCCTGTGCTCCTGCGTGGCTTTTCCCTTCGTTCGTTCCAGTTCTGACCACGTGTTGCCCGTCTCCACCCATTTTAATCCCTGGGTCACGTGGTGCCTTTCAGCCAGTCCTGGGTAACCTCCCTGGAATCTTCCAGATCACATCCTACGGTCCCAGGACCACGCCCCTAACTCGTCCCCCCATTGGCTGTGGCTAAAGCCAACAGGGCCAATCATCTCCTTCCAGGTGTCACCTTCACATTACGTCAGGGCCACGCCCCTACTCCTCTCCCCATTGGTTATGGGCCTGGACCGGTAGAGTCAATCATTATCAACGAGGTGTGACCATTCAATCACCCAGGTATACCCTCACATTACACTTATATAGAGGCGTAGATGTGGTGACCACGCTTCTGTGCTCTTGCGCCACGTGGGGGGGGGGGGGGGGGGGGGGGTTATTGAGGCAACGTTCATTATGCATTATGCGAGCCCTTTTAACTTGTCCTTCCTGTCTATTGTGTGTATTAAAATAGCCGTACCAACGTTAATCCCTATTGAAGTATGCTGCCCTTTGTGTTAAACTGTACAGATGATGTCATAGCTAAATGTTAATGCTCTTCAACCAATCCAAGACGGCAAGAGGCGCTCCTAGAATTTCAGCGATACTGCCAGGGCGTGTGGCGTGCATGATGCACACTCGGCGGCGTTGCGTCTGATGGGAGGTGGCGGGGGGGAACAAGAAACTGAACACGCTAAGCAGCTCAAAAGAATATAGTTTTCAACTTTGCAGAACTTTCCATCTGGAGTTGATAAGCACGTGGGCAACATATTTCTGTGCGCGTAGTCGTCGTTTGCAATCCAGCAACGCCCTGGGAATGTCGCAGGCGCTGATACCGCGTGCTACCTATGCTGAGCCCCTGTACGGAACTGAACGAACCTTTCGTGAGTTTGTCGCTTAGGGGTGCCGTTGCCAAGTTGGGCCGATCACGGTTCGGAGGCCATCCCCTGGAAGCACCGGCGTTGAAGCCTCTGAGGCACATTGACGAGGTCATGAGGTTGTGTCCAGTTCAGCTTCTGCTCCAAAGACTGGTTGGGTAGAAATGGTCCTTCATGTTTGTCAGGTGCTTCGTTGTTGGTTGGTGTCTATGCCACGACTACAACAAGTTAAAACTAAACTCTAAAACTAAACTAATTGTTATTTTACCAGGTAAGGCCCACTGAGCTATGTAGCTCTTTTTCAGAAGCGACCTGGCCATCACAAATGATAGCCCAACGAAGCAGCTTATA